ATTTGTGTACTCTGGCTTTCTCTCAATTGTTGGAGACTTTCATGTTTATTTTCTTTCTCTTCCATCCACTGCTGTAGTCTCTCTTTTTGTTAATTTTCTTTCTCCTCCAACAACTGCTGTAATCTCTCTTCTTGTTTATTTTGCTGTTCAAGCTGCCACTGTTGCAGGTTTTCTTGTCAACTGCTGTTGTCTCTCTTCTTGTTTATTTTCTCGTTCTTTTTGTTTCTTTTGCTGTTCTTGTATTGCTGCCATCAATTCTCCTAAGCTGTAGTTTGATTTTCCGCCTCTCGTTTCCATCTTCTTGTTTTTTTTTGCTATCCCATTTCTGACACCAATTTGTTATGTCTGTGTTCGTTTGTTAATTTTCCGTAGAAGTTATTTCCAAGAAACTTCGGCGATACAAGTCCTTTCTTAAATAAAACTAATTTATTCCCTCTCAATACAACTTTGCAATACATTTAAACACACGCTAGAATTCACAACGATTCACCCACTTCACTACTGCGCTTGACACAATTGTCCGTCTCTGTCTCTGCCTGTCTGCAATTCTAATCCCGCACTTATATACAAGAATAGAGGACGCCTAGGAAATACTGGATTATTTGTGATGTTCCCCGATCTTTCTAGAATTCATTACGTGTTACCGGTGTCACGTGACTTCCGCTGTCGTAACAATATGTTTAAATGTTTTAGTAATTAATGCATGTAGCCAATATTTATTTATCAAAGATTAAAATCAAGAAAAAAAGAAGGAAGAAACCAATTCTACGTCTTAATGTTAAACCTAAATCTCCAAAACAAACAACATAATATATATTATGAAAAACTATGTAGTGTCCCTACCCCCAATAAAACACAATACTTTTCTTGCTGTTCTTAAGAAAAATTGTTTATATTAAGAAAATGAGGCACTAAAATCTAAGCTCTGATAAATAAGAGTTGGAAGTAAGCTTTCCATCATGAACGACAAAAAAAAGAAGAGAAAAATATACTAATTGTTAATTGTGTAAACATCTACTTATTTA